TTCTATATTGTTTTATTTACAGTGCAAATAATGGACTATGACCCTCTTGACACGACACTGCAATTTGCTGAATGCGACAGAATGCGCTGTGTAAACATAACCATCAATGAGGATGAAACACTAGAAAATATAGAGTCGTTCTTTGTCACTCTGGAGAGGAATGGACTGGACAGTAGCATCACTCTTAATCCCACTCGTGCAGAGATTGAGATACGTGACGATGACGGTGGGTTTGTTTGTAATGAAAATGATAGTTTCCTCGACTTGGCCAATGATGCATACAGGACCTGGTGTGGTGGGTCTGGAACAGACGTTCTACACGACCTCAGAAGGAGTTGGCACGGTGGAAGTGTGTGCAGTTGTCTACAGCCCCAATGGGAGCCTTGCCTGTCCCATTGACTTTGCCTTCAGTGTTGAACTACAGACGAGAGACGGTGATGCAGGTAGGTTATGACCAAAAATTTTGTGGGCAATGATTATTTTTTTGCATACAGCTACTAAAATATGTGTTAGATTTCAACATACCAAAATTACCTCATGTTCACATTGCAGTTTCTACCATGGACTATGGCTCCATCACCACTACACTCCCGTTTGGTCGTTGTGATACACGGAGCCGTGTGAATGTGCCCATCACAGACGATGAGGTGTTGGAAGATACAGAGTCCTTCTTTGTTTCTCTACTGAGGAACGGGCTGAAGAGTACAATAACACTTGTCCCAACTCAAGGAGAGATAGAGATTATTGATAATGATGGTATGCACCGTTATTGTAGCCCACTGCATCACTGCATACCTGGCCGACCATCTGTTTCAATGGTTGTTTACCGATGCAGTTGCCGTGATAGGACTGGAAAGGACTGTGTACTCTATCCAAGAAGGCTCTGCTCGAGGAGTGGAAGTGTGTATCGTCGTGTATGAGCCGACTGGGATCTGTCCTATTCCATTCCCATTCTCTGTCATGTTCTCAACCAGCGATCTGTCTGCAGGTATTATAGCAACAAACAGCTGTCATATTCATAGAGATCAATACAATTTTGCTCCCCACAGTGGTTGACAACGACTATTTTGATGCAGACACGATCCAAATGTTTGAAGCGTGTGATACAATGCGTTGCATATCTGTATCAATCGTGGATGATTCCATAGGAGAGCCCGATGAACTTGTATCTATCTCTCTCGGTGATCCCTCTGACAGTCGGATAACCGCTCTACCACGACAGGGACTGATTAGCATAACAGACACGAGTGAGTAGAATTTATTGTTACAGGCAGAGATCCAATTGAGGTTTAGGGACCCGTATCCAAGCACAAGCTTCTTACTGTGCACCCGCATAAGCTGCTACACTAAATCTAAAATATGATCTGTTGATGCCTGTTGTTACTTAACTATTCCATTAGGTACCATAATTGTATTTGTGAACGACACTGTGACCGGAGATCCACTGATGACTGTTCCCGTCGCTTTCCCCGATACCTCCACTCTCTGCTATGAGGTCCACGGAGAATCCGACAAGTTCTTCAACCTCATCAGCGATAACATGCGTATCGGTCAATGCCACTACGCCAGATCTGGCATCAACAACCCCAACATTACTCTAAACGTCATCGACGCCGTGGGGTATTAGAGCCGTTCTAACAATGGGTCCTGTTGTAACATTGGAGTTGACCTGGAAGGGTGCACGGCAAGCATCAACGGCGTGGCACTGTCCGGCATGTATCGATGAGAATGGGTCGCTGAGTCCGCACGTGCAGTTACTCGGTCGTGTGAGGGCTCACGGTTCCAAACTGCAGAGGACACAGACCTGGTGAGGTGGATCTCTGTACGGTGGAGGACAGACGACCGTACACTCTGCGAAGTACTTCTCGTTCCCACTTACTCCGCTTGTGGTCATGCGTGGGATCAACCTAAGGGCGGGAATCTCCGGTCTTCTGGTGACTACTTTCGTCATGGAGGTATGTTCAACAGAGAGTTGTCGGATCTCTTGCTGTCGTAGGTCCGTTCTTGAATATCGCGATGAGGTGGAAGAGCACGCTGACACTTCAACGGAGCCTCCCGTTCAGACGACTACACAGTCACTGTGCACTCCAAGGATCCCACTAAGATAAGAAGCTTTGTGTGGCCCTCGTGTAGTCGGTCACGTGGGAGTTTGAGAGAAGAAGCAGCCATGTCTCTAGTCGGTGAACTCCCAGGCTGGCCGCTTGGAGAGGGTGTGGGTCCACACGAGTCTGTAATTGAGGGACCACAGGTTACATGGTCGACTCCAGGTTGTCTCTCATTTCAAGTTGCACATATTGACCAAGACAACTGTATGGCAAGTAAAGACATGATGGACAGGTAGGTGTAGCCTGGACGCTAAATCGGTAGGTTAGGTATGGACTTTACGTGTATAATACTGTTATAATGGATGTAGGCATGTGTGAGCATGAACATAAAATTCATAGAGAGATGATAGAGAGCACGAGAAGACATGCGCCAGGGCTAGAACACTAGTTTATAGCCGAAAACATGCGCCTGCGCCTAATTCCAAACACAGCGCTTGCAGCCTTGTTGCTGGTTTGCGTGCTGGGCTATCGTACGTACGTGCGTCGCACACTACCAAATACACAGCTGTACTGACGTGCGCGGCAGTGTTGCTCGGCGCGCGTGTGTATAGCAATGAGAGTCACCTATAAGAAGGACAGGATATCTTTACCAACACTCAGCTACAATAGTCATCGATGATTCCTCGGAGCCAGGTGCAGTAAGGACACAACTGTCTCAATTAGTGTGTGTATAAAGGGACTCACCCTATTCTCTAGATGCAAATTGAGGTGGGCTACGAGAGGACAGAGTACACGGTGGCGACAGAGAGCCAGGGAAGTGTGGAGTTGTGTGTCGTTATCTTTGAGCCGGAGACTGGAGTGCTCCAAGACCATTTCACGTGACTGCCAATGGAACTGCGGGGTAAACATTGGTCGTCTATTCGCTTCATAATTTGTTTTTCGTGGCTTTGAATAAAACCAGCACATAAGGGCTATCTGTTTCGTTCAATTTGTTGATTGTTTAGTTCACATTAACAACTAACATTGGCTAATTTCACGTATGTGAATTTTCTTCAAATACACACTTCTGTTCATCTCAGTCTTCTCATACACCACTAATACTCTCCACGATCTCCATACAGTGGCCCCCATGGACTACACAGCTGTAGTGGGACTCGTCCTGGACTTCCAGGCAGGGGCGGGGAGGGTGTGTCACACGGTAGCCATCAACCAAGATGAGATGTGTGAGGAGCCCGCTGAGGACTTCCTCTCTGACCTGGCCTACGAGAGTGGGACCCTACCAATCACTGTCATCAGGACCCCTGCCACTATCATCATTAACGACTCTGCTGAACTAGAGTGCAGTAAGTACAATAGACTCTCTCCCTCTTTGTTTCTATATACCTCTTTTCTCTCTGTCCAGATGAGATCACAGTTGGCTACGAGTTCACAGAGTACACCACGACCGAGGGAGACGGAATGGTAGAGCTGTGCGCCGTCATCCGCGAACCTGACAGTGGCGGAGCTCCCAGAGAGTTCTCTCTCCTCTCCACCACCAGAGATTACACTGCAGGCACGTCTCTTCCCCGTCTTGTAACTAATACCATGCCAATGGTCGTAAACTTTAGTTTTACAGTGAATTTTCCATAAATCATGGTTCACTGGTTTCTAAATCTGCCATTATGCACAGTAGACTGCTATCATGAACACGAATGCTATATGGTGTTAGGATCGACCCCTTTAATTGTTGGTTAATAATTACAGGAGCAGGAGTTGATTACGTGGCTGTCAGTGCCGAGCTCCAGTTTACAGTGGGGGACGAGAAAGTGTGTCACCAAGTGGTCATAATCGACGACGATGACTGCGAACCAAGTCCAGAGACGTTCTTTGCAGACCTCAGCCTCTTGACTGGGGACCTAGTCACAGTACTGCCTAATTTCACACTAATCATCATCGATGACACCAACGAAAATGACTGTGGTTAGTACCGTGTACTATAGACGTTTATCCCTCTGCCTCATTTTTAACCAAGAGTTAATCTTCAATCAATCAATCAACTGTGTGAGCCCCACCTCTGAAGGGTCTTATCTAACCAACACTTCTCTCTCTCTTCTTCTCTCTCTCTCTCTTCTATCTCGTCCCCCCTGCTTATCATTTATACCCTGTTTCACACCCACTTTTATTGCTCTCCTCCAATATCTCCCTCCTCACTGTTGTCAGATATTGTGGTTGGCTATGAGCGGACACTGTACAGCACAGAGGAAGACGATGTGTCTCTGGAGATCTGTGTCATCATCTACCAGCCACTATCAGGAGGGGCTCCGCGAACCTTCACCCTCACCTACAACACCACTGACTACACTGCAGGTATAGCTACTATCACCTCTTCTGGGAAGGTTTTAGCCTAAACCATTCACATAATATAACAAAGACCATGTTTCAAACTAACAAATTGCTTCAAAAACTGTAACTGTACACAAAAGGTATGGGAATGTATCAATGCTACTAGAAGGAAAGGTTTTAGTTGGGATCACTGCCACTGGTGTATTGTCATCTCCACTGGTGTGTATAATTATACAGAGGCTCCAGAGGACTACATCTCTGCCAGTGGGACTCTGACCTTTGAGACTGGGGACACCAGACAGTGCTACCCAGTCCAGATAGTGGACGATGAGTTCTGTGATCCTGGACTGTTTCTGACAAACATTGCTCTCATCACTGGAGAGCCCGTGATTACTGTTGAGCCCAGCATGGCTGAAATTAACATCATGGACCCTGACTGCGGTGAGGTTTAGTCACTTAGTCACTTTTTTTAGCTCTTAGCGAAGTTCAGCAAATCCAAATGAAGATCAAGCTAGGTTTTCGTTCATTATAGGTTTTTGACGTGAGACAATGTGTACCTTGGAGGGTAGCTACATGTGCAAGTTCTGAGAATTAAGCTACAAGTGTAATAGCTTAGTTATGAATTGTTAAGCAAAGGTGTAGCATTTATTCATTTGTGAAAATTGACAAGTTTTATACGATTTCTAACTCTTTACAGATGGACTGGTTAATGATACTCTGACTGGAGATCCCCTGATGACTGTTCCCTTCCACGACCCAACTGCTGCTGCAAACCAAACCAATGCCCAGCCCCCACCCTCGCTCTGCTACGAGGTCCACGGTCGAAGAGACACATACTTCAACCTCATCTCCGACTCCTGCACCTCCGTCAATGCACTCTACGAGAAAGCGCTCGTCAACAGTTCCAATATCGACTTGAACATGGTCACCAAGATTGGAGTGAGAACCGTTGGAGGAGATAACACAACATGCACCAACATAGAGGTGGATCTGGACTCGTGTACCACCACTGTAGATGGCGTTATACTATCAACATACTCTCTCAATGGTATCAGTGTGAGGAGAAAAGATAACGGTTCGAGGGTGCGTATTTCGGTCCCCAACTGTGCCGACACTCAGCTGGTGATGTACGTGTTCTGTACCAGTGGAATGGTGGAGGACCCAGTGGACTGGAAGTACTACAGGGCACGTTTCATCCGATTCGTCGTCCTGCGGGGGCTCAACCTCAACGAGCTCTCTCACGGACTTTTAGGTAACTGATTCTCTGTCGGAAGGAAGGAAGAACGTTTTTGACTAGCATGCACTTTATGGCAAATGAGGCCAGCAATAAGTGTAAAGTTGTGGCCTTCCTAGTGATACTTACTCTCCCTCATTAGCTAGTCCTCCTTCTCTTCCTCTCTTAACACATTGTCCCGCACTATCTTCTCCACTTCTCACTCACTCCAGGTCAGTTCTGGAATGTACCAGTGACAGTACAAGAGTTCACAGGACTATTAGACAATGAATCGAGGACCGATGATTACATCGTGACAGTCAGGTACCCTGGAACTCCTCCCAGAAGCTTTGTAGGGATCAAGAATGGAGTGACATGGGAGATGGAGAGGAGACCCTGCTATTTTGTTGGTAATGGACAAGGCGGGAAGCTCTCAAAGGAGGAGATTTCTGATCCTAACGACTCTGTGATTGAGGGGCACTACACTGATTATATTGTTGACTCTACATTTGCCACTGACTACAAGTACAGCCATTTCAATGAAACCAAATGCAACTCCGCAGTTTGAAGAGCTGAACAGTTTTTGATTTGTAGACTTGTATGCTAGCATGCATAGTAGGTTAGCTTTGTTTGTACATACACTTTGTATGGTCGTAGTGTTCTTGTGTTCCGCCGTAAACGCGCGCAGCGGCGCAGCACTGATAAAATTCTCTCGTGTCGCCTGACATGACGGGGGAATTAGTAGCGCCGAACCAGCGGTCTTGTTGCGTCTAACAGACGCACACAACCAACGGAGGTATCCGGGATTATAAGGAAGGTTTTCTCCGGCATATATAAGCAAAAATGTGATCCGCGATTGCCGGAAACTATATATACGCCGCCGTGCGAGAGCGAACCGCGCGCGTGACAACAGAAACCACCCTGGAATATAGTCTGGCGTCGTTTGTCGCTTCCCGTTTTCTTGTTCCATTTCTCATTGTCAATGAGCGCTTTCCGTCTTTCCCGGTTCCCGGCGTTCCTCCTCCCGTTTCTGTCTCCGGTCCGCGCGCCCACGCCCGCGCCCGTCCATCACAAAAACCGAGATCAACTGGCCCTCGTCCGCAGTTGAGTCTTTAGCCGACCGAGATGTTGCAGAAATACTTGTTGGCGGTCGCTGTTGTGATTATTATAGCCGAGAGAGGTAATATTCTTGTGTGTACGCCGGACATGCTTTTGCTCTATAGCTATCTATCCCTACCGCACTCTTCACGCTCTACAGGTTTCGCTCAGTGCTACACCGACACTGGATGTTTAGGGACCACAATCCGAGCGACTAATAAGCGGGACTGCTGTGTTGGGACTGATGTTGGTCTTGCCTTCTCTGATGGTGGTACATGCACAGAGTGCATTGGTATGTATTAATGTCAAAAAAAACTGCTGTGATTTGATACTCTTCACAGTTCATGGGTTTGCTCAAGCAACCTATGAAATTGATGAAGGGGGAGGAGTTGGCTCTAGCAACGAACTTGGACGGTTAGATACTCAGTTTAGATTGAATGTAAAGGGAACTACAAGGTTTGCCGAAAGTCTTAAACTTCTTGGAACTATTACAGCAGAACCAGATGGAACTGCACGTGAGTGATTGTCAAAGTTGGGCTACACATCTCTTATGGTCTCATTTTCTTTCAATAGTTGTTTCTGACTTTGAACCACTGCAAGCAATTACCGTGACAGAAGAAAATCTAGCAAGTATTCGCCTGTTTAGTACGAATGATCAGATCACCCTCGAGTATGAAGACAGAGTGTTGCTGACGTTCACTCCTGGTAATCCTCAACTCATACCTGGTCTTGAAAGCAACGGCGAATATATTAGGGACACAGCCGTGGTCAATATTACAGACAATGATGGTAAATATTGTTCTATCTGCACATGTTACATAATATTAATCTTATCATGCAGATTTGGAGATAAATTTTGGAGAATCAGATTATGCTATCACAGAGGGGCAAACCGCCAGTATAAGCATTGTTTTCCAGTACAGGAATAATCAAAATAACTTTAGTTTAACTCTATCGCCAGTCAGCATTTCCAGCATTGAAAATCAAAATCTTGATGATTTTATTTTTATTGACTTTGCAAACATATCCAGAGCCACACCAGATACCTTTTAATATTGATAATTCATTGAGCCAAGAGAACTAAAGCTATCTGTTATAGGTGCTGATTTCAGTGACACTTCAACAACAATCATTGTTCCTGCAAGTAATCCAAATGAAGGAGCTCAAACATTCGAACTAGAACAGTTCTTCACTGTAGTAGATGATGATATCAATGAAATTGACCAGAGTTTTGCAATAGTTGCTGTGATAGGACCCGATGTTCCCGACGGTATCAGCTGCTTCCAGACCCAAGTTGGAACAACAAAATGTAATGGGCGAGTTGGTGCTACTGAAATAAAAATAACTGATAATGATGGTAAGTATTAGCTTCAAAATGTCCTTGTTATGGTCGTTTGTTTCTTTCCATACATGATAGATATGATCATTGGATTTGCAGAAAGATATGTGTATATCAATGAGAGTTCATCTATAGAAGGAGAGGAGATCTTTAGGATTTCCATAAATGTCACTTCACAAATAACTTCAGAGCAAGTACACATGGTGCAGTTTCGTCTGCAGGAGGGCACTACCAATGCCACCATTGAAACTGACCCTCCCAGCAGCTTCGACAGTCAAGAATATGATGCTCTTTTTGGCAAACGTGCTGCACCAAATGAGCCTATTATTGATGAAAGAGACGTTGAAGCAGGAAAGTCAAAGGCTAATCACAGAACTTACTACCGCGGTTCGAGACGACTTTCGGTCTGAAGGCCTAGAATGCTTTACAATACGCATACTCAGTCCTGATCTTATAACATCCCGGGAAATTTTTCGCTGTTATGAGGATGGACAAAATGCAAAAAATTTCTTCTGTTTTCAAACGATCTGTATTATAGACAATGATGGTTAGTTATCTTTTGTCAATCTTTCTTTGCTGCACAGTTTTTTTACAGAGCCATTTGTTGTTGCATTTGTGGAGACAACATACACTGTTGATGAGAGTGCGGGTTACGTGTTGGTCTGTGTCAATCTCACTCGACCTGAAATGGACATTCTCGATGAAACTGTCAATGTCTTTGTCACTGACTTCCCAACTTCCATATACATCCCAGTTGGTGATGTTCCTCGTGAGTCATTCAGCACAAATAATAGACAGTTTTATTAACATTATCACTTTCTTCCCCAGCCCCTGATATTCCTGACTTTCTCAGTCGGTATCCGATGGCAGAGAAATCTGACTTTCAACAGCAGACTCCTGCTGTCAATTTAATTGACGATATCCTTATTAGTGAACTGATGAGAATAGTCTGCTACAACCAGACCATCTATGACGACCTACGTTTGGAGGCGAATGAATATGCAGGCCTCACGCTTGGAGTGGAGGATAATGAGCTAACCACAGTTCTTACTTTTGTAAAGGAATTGTTTGATCAAGCCTCAATTCTTATTGTGGACAATGACAGTGAGTTTTATGCAAAGTACCGTATACCGTAGGAGAGGATTTGTAACCACTGGTTTTGTTCTGCAGGGGCTGTGGTGGGTCTGGAGATGACAGTATACAGTGTCTCAGAAGCAGATGGTAATGTGGAAGTGTGTGCTGTGGTGCGCAGTCACATATTGGACTGTTCCTATTGAGTTTTCCTTTGCCGTCAACCTAACAACCAAGGATGGAACCGCAAGTATGTGTAGCAAGCAATAAGCAGGTACTCTGCTTATTTACTCTATTTACACAGTTTCGCCCATGGACTATGGTGCTCTGTCCACTACCCTCACGTTTGATACTTGTGAAACTAGAAAGTGTACCAATATAGCAATAGCGAACGATGATATTCTCGAGGGTACAGAGTCATTCAACGTCACTCTTGAGGATACTTCTGGACTTGATGACAGGATCACTCTTGACCCAGTAGACGGAGAGATCCAGATCAGTGATAGAGATGGTATCTGTTAGTCGACACCTCTATGAATTATATCTTTGGCAGAGGCTGTAATCATTGGAATGTTTACACCTTTATGAATTATCTTTGCTAATTATAGGGTCCGTTAGTTGATACCTCTATGAATTTATCTTTGGCAGGAGATGTAATAATAGGTGTTAGTTGACACCTTTTGTGAATAATTATATCTTTGACAGTGGCGGTGGTTGGTGGGTCTGGAGAGGACACTCTACCAGGTCTCAGAAGGAGTGGGCTATGTGATAGTGTGTGCTGTTGTATTCAGTCCTGATGAGAATACCGATTGTCCCATTGGTTTTGCTTTCGAGGTTGAACTCTCCACCATCGATGGCACTGCAGGGTATATAGGTGTGGGAAATGGAGACGT